AGTGAAGAGATGAGCGTGGCGGATCTGCCAAAGACAGAGGCGAACGTGCTGAGAGGCCACGAGGGGGCAGTATTAGCAGCGAGGTTCAATAGTGACGGCAATTACTGCCTCAGCGCCGGGAAAGACCGAACCATCAGACTCTGGAACCCACACCGCGGCATCCACATCAAGACCTACAAGGCCCATGGCCGCGAAGTACGTGACGTTCATGTCACCTCGTAAGTCTTCATCTTTTCTTATTCTTTCTAATCTTTGAGCTGAACCCAGTTGATCAATTCAATGAATATATATATGTATAATGTGGAATGTGGAATGTGGAATGTGGGTGGCCTTTGGATACGTTGTTCTTGTAGGGACAACTCGAAATTGTGTTCATCAGTATTCATGTTTTCCTCTTCTCTCTAATCTTTCAGCTGAACCCAGTTAACCAATTCAATGTATATATATGTATAATGTGGGTGGCCTTTGTATAATTTGTTCTTTTAGGGACAACTCGAAATTGTGTTCTTGCGGTGGTGACAGACAAATCTTTTATTGGGATGTGGCGACGGGGAAAGTCATTCGAAAGTTTCGAGGCCATGAAGGGGAGGTGAATGGTGTGAAGTTCAATGAGTATTCATCTGTTGTGGTCTCGGCAGGTTTTGATCAGTCCTTGCGTGCTTGGGACTGCAGGTCTCACAGCAATGAACCCATTCAGGTTAGCCTTGCTATTGCTTTTTCCCTTTTCTTCTTTTTGTTAGATTTCTTTAATTGTTTGTAATTTTCTTGTTTTTTCATAGCTGTGGTTAACCTGCAGATAATTGATACGTTTACAGACAGTGTAATGTCTGTTTGTTTAACAAAGACCGAAATTATTGGTGGAAGTGTTGATGGAACTGTGAGAACTTTCGATATGCGTATGGGGAGGTATGTTGCTTTGTTCTGTATTTTTATCTCTTTACATAGTTATGTGTCACAAATATCCTTGTATGCTAAACTTAGACACTCAAAACTTTGATTCAATGATTTTCCTGAGCTTTTGATGATGGATGTTTAATGTTGTATTACATAGAGAAGTATCCGATGACTTGGGACAACCTGTAAACTGCATCTCAATGTCAAATGACGGTAACTGCATACTAGCAAGTTGC